ACTCTACCACTGAGCCACCTTCCCAGCCCCTATTATTATTATTATTTTTTTGTCGGTCGTGGGGCTTGAACTCTGGGCCTAGGCGCTGTCCCTCAGCTCTTCAGATCAAGGTGAGCGCTCTACCACTTGAGCTACAGTGCCACTTCTGGTTTTCTGGTGGTTTATTGGAGATAGGAGTCTCACGGTCTCTCCTGTCCAGGCTGGCTTTGAACGGCGATCCTCAGATCTCAGCCTCCTGAGTAGCTAGGATTACAGGCGTGAGCCACCAGTGCCCGGCTTTTTTTTGTTAGTTTTGTCAGTCATGGGGCTTGATCTCAAGGAATAGATGCTGTCTCTGAGCTCTGCTCAAGGCTAGTGCTCTATCACTTTGAGACACAACTCCACTTCTGGTTTTCTGGTGGTTAATTGGAGATAAGAGTCTTACAAACTTTCCTGCCTGTGCTGGCTTTGAACCATGATCCTCAGATCTCAGCCTCCTGAGTAGCCAGGAGCATGAGCCACTGGTCACTGGCTTGCTTTTGGTTTATAATTCACACTTTTTTTTTTAAAGTTAACAGTTCCAAGAGGTTATTCTGAATTACCAGTAAGTTAGCAAAGATTTCAAGGGCTCTTAGCCTTCTCTTTCCTGACTTTAGTTCATTACCTTATCACTATGACATAGACCACATAAACAAGAATGACTTAGGTGTAAATTACATGTAGACTTTGACAAAATTCCTATGAGACAAGATATTAAACTAAAACCACCTTTTAGGGGTAACACTGTCCTAAAAGAAATGTACTAATTACCTGGCTTATGTAACTGTAATCCCTCTGTATGTTACCTTTATAGTAACAATTTAAAACAAAACAAAACCACCCTTGTCAGTGGGACTATTGTTGATATGAATAACCAGAAAAATGTTTTGAAGACACAGAGAACTTCTTTTTTGTTGTTGTTGGTCATTAGGCTTGAACTGTGGGCCTGGGTGCTGTCTCTCAGCTCTTCAGGTTAAGGCTAGTGTTCTACCACTTGAGCTACAGCACCA